TTTTTACATTTGCGCAAAATACCAAACGCCAAAACCGTAATACTACTAAATGATGTATATTCTGTATATATGAACCAGTGTATTTCTAACCCTTGAAAATAATAAAATCAATCTGGCAAGTAGGTTAAAACATTGGCTAGGGCTTCAGCTCCAACTCTAGCTCGAAAGACAAATTTGGAGTATTGTTCCAAATAATTTGTGGTTATAAAACTTGGCTTCAAATTCTTACTCAGAAGTTTGAAGTCTAGTACGTGCTCGAAATGTAGGTTATAGAACTTGCTAATTAGAAAGACATGTGATGCTGAAAGCAGGAGCAAGCTTTATAAAAAGTAAGCTTTACTCCGAAAATGAGATACTGGGAACGCATTCCACAAAATTTTCAAGATAGAGCCAACGTCGGGTAAGGGATGTTAGGAATGAATTGTTAAGAATGCAATATGAAAGTCGTGGTTGTATGAATCAATGAGAAGGCAAGATTGTATGATATGAACTTCATCTTGTATGATATGTAGTACACGTTGTGAAGTAATTTTGTCAAATTCATATTTAACTAAATGTATTCACTATAAATGTAAGAAGGTAGAAACTGGCATTTACCAGAAAATGAAACAAGCTTTCGAATATTTTAATTTTTGTAATGATTGAAGTATTGAAGATGAATATCAGGTTTTTTGCTTGCATTTTTAAGTAAATGTTCTGCACGTGCGTCTCTAAGAAAAAATATATCAAACTGCATCGTTTTACATGTAGGTCTCCAACTACACTCAAACTAACGCAGCTGTCTGCTCAGCGGCTCATAATATCGGTGTTTCGATTTATCATGGAAATTTACTTGAACTTATAATTCATCCATAATGAAGACAAGAAATAGTAAAAGGTGCCCTCTCAGAAGACTTCATTTATTGGTCTACTAGATCGATATATTCAGTATTCAAATTAAAGCTTTCAGGGACTTTGCCCTAAGTGGAATCTCAAGGCATCCCAAGATCCCCTGCCTTATCAGCTCGCTTCAACCCAGTTAAAATCCTCTGTTCACCCTTGATAGTATTAGATGCACATGTTAAAGCTTTGGTTACTTTATTCATAAATGTTTTCAAAAGCTAAAAAAGCCCTTAGCGATGTTTGACGACATCCTATTCCAGGAATAAAAATCAATTTAAAATACTACGAACTACTTTTAGTGTATAATGCGCTCCATACTTAAGATCCGAAGTCGCTATTTTGCAACCGAAAATGTCCTAGAATCATGAATATGAAAAGTAAGGCATAGATTGATGTGTGTGTGTGGTTAGGGGGAGAGGATGGGGGTTGTGTTGAAGCTAATACAACCTCACGATGGATACTAATATCCATTTCTGTGTCACTTTATATAACAAGAGTTTCTCCATTGTATTGAATATGCTAGTACGGTTTAATGGCTAAATCGATGTTTTTTCTTTTACGCCTTGCCCGTTGATCTAATCATGAGTTATTTTTACTCGAATGTATTTTTATTGAATTGATGTACTGACATGTATATTTATTTCAATAAATATTTGTATGGGCCGGGGGGGGGGGGGGGGTGAAACTTAATTGATCAGTAAAAAAAAAAAAAAAAAACCTTCCGATTTTTTTTTGTTTTTGTTTTTGTTTGACGGATGCAGGAGATTTGTCTTTAAATCAAAACATACATTATTGTTATTTTTCTTCAATGTAAATTCAGTAATTAAGCTATTATCCTGTTAATTATAGACGCCCTTTTAAAAAAATAATTTATTCAGATTAATAAATACATTAAAACCTTCTATCAAGGTTATCAATTAACAAGTAGACGATTACACTCAATAAAAACAAAACTTTAATGGGAAATTTTGCCAAAACTTTAAATACGTGTGTAAGCGAGAACCTTTAGTTCTAACAACGTACTTGCTCTTGATATATATGTAGGTGCGCATCACAAAATATTAGCGTTAGAATATTATATTTTGTTGGATTTGCTGAACTGCTCAGTGAATGGCCAATGGAAAAAAAAGTTTTTGGAGAAAGTCAGACTCGGTCATAAAAAAATGTACAGTCAAACCTCGTTATCTCAAACTTATTAGTTTGTTGTTTAACATCCCTCTCGAGAATTTTTCACTAATATGGAGACGCCACCACTTGCAGGTGGAGGGCTGCAATTTTAGGTACATGTATGTACTCGGTACTTACGGCCTTTGACCAGTGAGGGATCTTTTTTGTGCCAGCACCTATTGCGACACGCGACATCGATCTTTACTGTCTCATCCGAAGGAACGGTCTCGAAGTCGCACAGTGGATTCGAGCCAAGGACGTAAGGACAAACTCCTTACTCCGCAACTCTAGAACAAAGTAAACGCTCTTACCACGCTAACCAGTTCGGCAAAGGGCGGCTACGAACAGTTGGATAAATTGAACAGTCATGTAGATTTCTAAACAATACAAAAATACAAACGAGTCAAAATACCTTAAGTACATTAAATAATATTTACTGACCAAGAGACATACATGGTAAGGTGGTCGGATTGGCTGTACTCTGTAATATTTTATGCTAAAGCACTATGTTTTGTTATGTTTGGTGATAGAGATAGAATGTAGATAGCACCCCATTGCATATGCAGGCAAGTTCCTGAGTAGTTGCTGATTACGAAACTAACTTTTTGTAGATTCCTGATCATCCTCTTTCTATTGATTTTTGAGTTTCAGTTACTTACCTTGTGACCCCTGTGTTTATAAAACGTTTTAAAAAAAAAAAATCAGTGTACTCCTACAATTCATTCCAACCAACCAAAACAAAAACAAAAAAACAAACAAACCCTGGCCTACCGAAATGGTTAAGGATATTTTTTCGTGTAGTGCTTAATTAAAATATTGGTGTAATGTGCTATCTTAAAAATATATATATATAAATGATGACAATCTCATGATCAAGAACAGTTTTGTGTGTAAATTGCACGAATGATTGTTTATTTAAAGTTTATTCATTTAAAACAACGTTCTCTGATGATATTTCAACGAAACAAATCGCATGTAATATCAAAATACGAATTACAGTTTTTATTACAATTTTTAATTGTAAATGCTGCTAGTCACAAAGAAACATATATAAACACATGCTATATACATTGTGCCCGAATGAGAACAATACCGATTCTATATGTATTCAGCTAGTTGCTAAGATTTAAAACCAGTCCAGAATCCATCGTTATAAAATTCGAATTCTTACGAATGAGATTTTCTCGAAAATCTATTTTCTTTCGATTTGCACAGTGTAACTGTATAACAGACAGCAAGTAAAACAAGTAATGATGCATGTGCATTTAAAAATGTACAAAAACGCAACAAAAGGGTTCCTACAGTTAAAGGGGCGTAGGCACAGATTTGAAGTTAATATTTTCTCACATTTTAATGACTTATATGTTGCTAGAGCATTTCACACCGATATACAAAAAAATGTATTAAGGAACTTCTTTTATTTGGAATTCATTAAAACTACAAAATTCTGGAAGCGTTTGGTTGACACAAATCCTTGCAGTTTCTCGAAGTAAACTTTATCCTTAATACTTATAAACAGAGGAAATTTTGTTGTGTATTAACGACAATTATTAAAACTGTAATCCAGATTATTCAGAATAGAAATGTGAGAAAGCAAAACAAATTCACCGTTATTGCCAGTCCTTGTTCAGTGATGTGTGCCGAGTTTAACAAATTGAACACACCTGGTGAAACGTAAACATTAACAATATCTGAGCTCGTGCTCTGATTACAAAACCAGATGTTTGACGTTATGTAAAGAAGAATGTCAGTGTCATTGAATTCAAACAATATTCATGTAAGTTCAATTCATTTCACTGGTTTCATTTCTTGAATAAAAAGAAAATTTTAAAAAGTAAAAAAATTCAACTATGTCCATTTCCCTTTAAGTCTTATTTTAAACACAGTAGCAATTATTATAATCGATAAAATAGATAAAGAACATTTTACATTACATCATTGTGTACTCGATGTTTTATTTATTTAAGAAGGCTGAGGGGTCGTTGCAATTTTAGAGTGTTTTTATCTCTGCACAAAAAAGATTTTCACTCTAATGTCTTGTAACTCTTCCATCGTCCTGAAAGAGTTATTGTTCATAAAACGAGCTCTTCATACAAGTAAGGTAATAATAGACCCTAACAACAGCAATGGGGAAGGTAAACATTCAGAAATGTAGAGACAAGAACGGGCGATTTATCAGTGAAAAACAGGCAAAAGAGTTTTCTGTAGATATAAATAACAACAACAACGGTGATTCTTCACATATGCCGTTTGATGTGCATACACTACACGATCATGCATATTTCTCCAAAAAGAAAACACCTCTCCAAGTCGTGAGTTTGTCATCGGCACCAGTGTTCAAAATCCCGCCAAATGACTATTCCACAGTGTCATTCAGGTAATGTATTTGATTTTTTTTGTTTATCATATAGAGAAGAGTAAATGGAGAAATAATTTCTTTATTACCCCACAATGAAAAATAATTAGGCATTTTTTAAATAAATGTATTTATTCTATAATACTCCATAAGAAAAGAAGGCACAGGACCCATAAAGCTTAAAAATTAATAATTTTTATTATTTTATCCTTTCACAGTGAGAAGAACCTCACTCATCCTAAACGCCATGGGCGTGTTACAACATTAGAAACAGATGCATGATCATATGGATCAGGAAGATGCACAATATTTTCAGGGTAAAAATGTTCAATATTATGATGTTGTTAAATATGAACATGATTTATGTCCTCATATGGTAAAATTTTAAGATAAAACTGTTCAATATGTTGTTAAATATGAACATGAATTATGTCCTTATATGGTAAAATTTTAAAATAGAAAGAAAAAAAACTTTATCTGAATTTCATGTACTGAGTGAGAAAATCAAAATACATCATATAGCTTGGTAATCAAAATCCATAATAGAATGCATTTTCATACAGAAAATCCCCGAAAAATAAACTGCAAAGAAGGCCGACGAGTGGTTGAAATTGTATTTTTGGCAGAACAACTTTATTGAGGATGCATTACATGTCATCAGCCATTGCATCTGAAAGACATTTTAGATGAACAACATTTTGGTTTGGGAAGCCTTTTTAGCATTATTTGCTCCTCATGCAAAAATGTTACCCAAATTTCATAAGGGGAAAGACACACAAGTACTTATGGCGTAGGAGAATGAGTCAAAAGAAAAGCATCATACACATGGGATGTCAATACAAAGCTTGCTTCAGGTATCATTATAATCATTATTGTGATAAGATATAATTGACAAAAAAAAAGAACTTTTATAATTCTTTTCCATTATAAGAGTGATGGTGTATGCTAAGTAAATATATATGTTCTTTAAAAAGTTTAATATAGTGAAATATTGCTTATATTTTTTAGACTTTCAAATGATTTCTTTCAACAGGAATGTTATATACTGGTTTAGGTTCATCTTCTGTGAATGCATTGCTTGCATGTTTAAATATCCCTGGTATCTCCCCTATGTCACTGGAGGCAAGAGAAAGGGAAGTTGGAGCAAAAGTTGAACATATTGCTAGAAAGTTTTGTGAGGAGTATGCTGCCCAAGAAATGGAAATTTGTAAAGAGTATATTTATTGTTGGGCTTTTATAAAATGAAATTTTATACTCTCCAATAATTTCACAAGTTTTTTAAAATTACAAATTGATTAAAAAATATATTTTTGCCAAATCTTGTAATTGCAAAATTTACAGTTTTTCTTATGTTTAACACATATGTATTTTAAAGGATATTATATTTTCTTAGTGAGGGGGTAGAAGTATCCTTTGATGCAGGCTGGAAGAAGCGTGGTAGTGGAAGATCATACAACAGCTTATCAGGTGAATTGAAAATCCTTCACTAAACTGTATTATAGTCTTTTGTCTGACAGTTTTATAAATTTAAAATATAGTCAAAATTAACTGATATATATAGGAAGAAAATACATTGTTAGAAATTTTTTTATGATAAATGCCAGTATGCACAGTATATAGGAAGAAACCTTATAACTTATAATAAATCATTTCATAGGTCATGCATGCAGTACCCTCTCAGGGGCCGATATTCGGCCCCATTTCCAATTGAAAATGAGTTCAGTTTTTCCCAATTTGGCAGTATTTTTTCCCAATTAGTGAACAATGCTTTTATATTTAATTATCTTGGAAAAACACAAAGTAAAATTGTCAGATTGTCTGTAATTTTCATCTATTTAACTCATTTAGTAAAGCTACAGTGCCATCTTTTAATCCAAATGTCCTCCGTTTTTCTGAAAATGGTGATATTGTGTAATTATATAGATTTATTAACTTATTTCCACCTACTCAATTGATCTACGATTGAATGGTAAACTGTAGGCATTATTTCAAATAGAAAAATATTATATTTCCAGTGCATTAATACATATTAAAAGACGACTTGAGAAATTGTGTACTTAGTATAAAATTTTTTGCAGGAGGTTTATAATCTCAAGAAACATATTCTATAATGACCTAAATTGGAATCTCATAAACACATGTACTACCCTAAGTTGTATAAATACTTTATATAACTCATTGAAGTCAGTTTTACTTTCATTAGTCTATTATTAATAATTGCAATTAATTGATCTTGTATGATGAAGTTGGATCATATTTAATTGTCTGTTTGGTTGCCCAAATTAGAGTTCATGCTGAAATGTTAAATGAATTACACATGAATACATGATTTAAGCAACATTTTAAATTTTTCCCAATTTCATCAAATAGCCGATAATTTTTTTCCCAATTCCCCAAAAATGGCGTTTCCCAAAATAGGCTGATAAATCCCTGGCATGTATGATTGGTAGCAAAACAGGCAAGATAATCAGTTATGATGTTAGAAACAAGAGCTGCCGTATTTGTGAAAATGCTGCATTGTCCAAAGAACCACCAAGGCAACATGACTGCAGGAAAAACTGGGATGGTAGTGCTAAAGGTAAAATAATAGTAATACAAAACTTGTAATTATATGTCATAAATAACCTTTGGTAAAATAATGACATATAAGTGATTGCATATTATTTGTTTACAAATAATGAATGAATTCATATTGAAACAGGGATGGAATGTGACATGGCTGTTAGCATGCTAAAAGACCTTGAAGCCAAAAACATAAGTATAGAGACAATTGTAATGGATGATGACACAACTACAATAGCAAGAGCGAGGAAAGGAGTGAAGGCGAGACTAAAGAAGAAAAGCGATGCTGATCATGCCCAAAAACATTTCACCAACAAATTATATGGTCTACAAATAGCCAAGAAGTAAAGACAGTTAGGTACCAAAACCATTTCTCATTTGAAAAAATGTTTCAATAATATTATTGCTGTCAACAAGAAAAATCCTGCAAAGAGCTAGGTTCACTTTACGCATAAAATGGCCCTGTCCTTATATCAATTAATTGACTATCACCCTCTGTCCCATTTCATATATCAAAATGAAGTAGAGACTTAGTGTTTTCATTTCCTATAACAAAATTTCTTTTTGAGAATCAAGGTATTGGAAAACAGGCTTTGAGAAAATGCAATGTTCTTGAATTTTGCAGAAAACATGCGTATTTGACTACCTTCAGCAAAGAATTAAAATATGAGCACAGCCCACGATCCAAAAATTAAAACCTGTTTTGTGATCTTCAGAAACAGATCTTTCACTATGTAATTGCATATTTTGGATCAGAGGTTGTGCTCTATATCAAATAATGAAAAAATACCTATCTTTCGGCCATTTTTAAGGGAATTTACAGGATATGGGGAAAATGACGCAGTTTATGACGTCATAATACATTGACTAGAGAGAAAATTACGTCATGTTCAATAGATACACAGTCACCAAAGGTCCAAGTTATAAATACTGCATTTTCAACCAAAACTGAGCAGTTTCGATTTTTCAGAAATTCTCAGGGCCAAAAAAGGCCCTAAGTGGCTCTGGCTCTTTGAAATCAAACTTAAAATCACTGACACCTCACCTTTTTGGGGACCACAGCAAGTGCAGCCAAAACTGTGGATATGTACGAAATCCTACTACCTATATTCCAAAGAACTTACCATATAGGAAATACCTCAGTGACAGTAAGCTGAAAGCGGACCTTTATGAAACACTTTCAACTTATGCAGACCAAGCAGAGAAGTTATCAAATCTAGGAAGTTCCCAGTCAAATGAGAGCTTCAATAACACAGTTGCTTCGAAAGCACCAAAGCGAATGCATTTTTCAGGATCAGAAAGCACATCATTTAGAGTTGCTGCTGCTGCTGCCCAGAAAAACTTAGGAAGTCATTACGTTTTGAAGGTGAGGTTGAAATTGATAATAGGAGTGTGTCAGTATGATTGAATAGGATCGACTATATTATAACACTACCTTTTTTTAGGTGATATAAAATTATAATCCAATGTTGTATTTATTATGCATTGAATTTTTTGAAGGTAAATTAAGCACTACTCTTGTCCCCAGGAGGACATACAAAGAGACTTATGATACAACATGACCTGAAAAGAATGAAGGATTATGAGCAAAAGTCATCAACATCATTCAAGAAGAGAAGGTCGGTCCTAAAATCCAAAAAAACAAGCAGCGTTAGAAAGCAAAGAGCTTAGAGAGGGTACTACATATGAGTCTGGTGTGAGTTTGGCTGAGTCTTCCACAGCAGATGATATCCATGAGATACCTTCTCCTTCCACCTTGCCCACCATATTAACTCTTCCAGATGGAAATTATACTTTCATCTGCTTTGATCTGGAGACTACCGGTCTTGGTATGTGTTATTGACATACTGAGTATGTAGACAGTCAAAAGAAAATGAAAATACACTCATATTTATCTTTTTTTTTTTTAGACAATGATATATATATATATATATATATATATATATATATATATATATATATATATATATATATATATGGTTGTGCCATTTAGGAGACCGCTCATATTTATATATTGGCATTAAGTAGCCTCGTAGAATAAGTGGACCAAAACCGGTCGCCTTAACATTTTGACCCTCTCTGAACAGAAAATTAATGACTTTTTAATATTAAATTGACAATAGTTAATTTTAGTTTAGTATATTTTTGTCCCTTAAATACAAAAAATATGCCAAAATTTTATGATTATAGAAATTTTTAAATTTAAATTTCAAGCAACGTATATATTGGTATTATTATATATCGTCATTATGTAGACCAGCTAAAACTTGCAAAATTAAATAAGATCTGCTATATATGTCTTATTTCTCCTAGTATTTAGTTTTAGATATTGTTCTCCCACTAATTTTGGGTATGTACAATTTGCTAAATAGAATAAAACTTTTTACGAGAAAATGAGCTTTAGAGTTTCGTGTTCATCAACTTCAAGGTTTTCGTGCGCAATGCCTTCCGAAAATTTTCGGAAAACCTCGGTATCCTTTACGACCTTCGGAGAAATAGGAGTCAGACAAAATTTTGGTAAGTAATAACAAATTATGATTTTTTAAAAATACTTATTCATGATATATTGACTATATATTATGCACCCAATATTTTGCGGTTAATGTCTGGTATTTATTCATTGATAAAGACTTACGTATACTTATTAGCATGGAGGAAATTCGAATTGTAGTTTACCAACAGCGTGGTTTCAACAGATCGTTTGTTTGTTTTGAACATATTTTATTGACATAAGCAAATGGATCGGAAACAAGTTCTTACAATTTACTTGTTCCTAACAATTGATTACATGTACTTGAACAAAATAATTGTAATCTCTGCTTATTCATAAATATATACTGAATAGCATAATATTAGGCTGGTGGTATTGTTCTTGCGGAGATAAATTAAATATTCGATAATTTACCTGAAATACTAACTCTAATTTCCTATTATATGTGGGGTAGGGTTGGGTTGGAAATGGGAGTAAGGTGTTTCTAGGTTCAAACTTTTTTCACAGCCTAATCCAACCAGCCTTTCCTGAACAATTTTAATAGTAAAAGATTAATTGGGGAGGGGAGGAGCCCCCCCCCCCCCCCTCCAACCACGATACCACATCTCTGATGTCTATGGCAGCGGATACATACATGCATATATGTACATACAAATTTATGTATCTGACAGCATCCCCCTGAGATTTCTTGTACATAAAACATAAAGTTGATTTGGACAAGCCCAATATAGCAACAATTTTGAAATATCTTAAAAAATAAAGAGGAATTAAGGGCTACAAACTGCTAAAAAATTCAAAGGGACCAGATTAATATTTTTGATCGGGTTAGAAGTGGGGTTTGGGTGCAGGATGTGTGGAAATATTTTGTGGTGTATATTCCATATAGGCAAAAAGGCTGTAGGCTACACATCATTTTTTTTAAGGATAGAAATTTGGTTGAAAAGGGGGGGGGGAAGTTGATGATAAATTGTTATCTATTAATTTCATTTTGTTGCAAATGCCAAAAAAAGAAGCATTTTTGACAATGCGCATTTTTGTACCCATACTTACAGTCTAACTTTCTGTTTAATGACAAAAATATTCCTATAACTGGAAATAAAAATTAAGCCAAAATTCAAGTATTATATTAGGTCTGCATCAGCCTCCTTGCTTACCCATCATTTGCGCCTCAAGTTAAATCTGTGACATCACACTAGCCGACACATTACATGTAGTAGAAAGTAATAATATTATTATACGCAAATGATATTCTAAACAATCTATTACACTGTACCTTTTGGCATGAATGGAGGATTAATTATAACAGGTTATATCAGAGATGAGCATATCAGTTAATAGTTATATGTATTACACTTTCCATGATTGAGTAACAAAAGATATACTGTATAATTCTTGCAATATTTTTTCTATAACAGTAGACTCAGTTTACATCACCACCGTTAAAGAGTTTCGATCTACAGCACTGCTGATTTAATTTCTCAGATTTTATTAGAGATCTACAATTGTACCTTTACAGGTCACTTAATTAGTACATGTATCTCAAATTTAATTGGGCAAATGAGAATTTTGTCTTTAACAACTTAAATGACTCAAAAATGTATTGCATGTTCAACATGTTCAGGGTAAATTATTTCCTTTATCATGAATTTATTCTAATTTTATGGGAGAATATATTTATAATTATGAAAGTACTAGTAAATCAGTCTACACATAAGTAAAAATTACCTCAACTATTTGAATTACTTTGCAGAATTTATTGCATTGTCTTTATTACTTAACAATCATGTAAAACTTTATTTCATGGCCGTAGGAACGGGGGGGGGGGGGGTGCTCCCAATAATTTTGCCGAAATATAGAATACTAAAGAAAACATAGCTACTAATATGCTTGTGCCCCCTCAATAAAAACGCCTGATGACCTTTTTTTTTTAAGCTTGTCAAGGAATTTTTGGTTGTTAGTGCCCCCCAAAGAAAATGCATGGCTGTCCCCCCTCCCCTAAACTGAAATTTCTTCTTACGGGCCTGTATTTATTGATTTTTTTTTTTAAATGTTTCATTTATTTATAAACCTATTAAGTGTTTCATTTTGAAAAGAAATATTAGAAGATAATCATAATTTCAGAAAGAAGTTGAAATTAAATAATAAAAGAGACCCTAAGAAAAATTGCTTGTTGTCATTGTCAAGCTTGAACAAGTCCTGATTCATATGAAACAGATCCTGATCAATTTAAGCATTTTTTTTTTTAACATATAATGAAAAAAATACTGTTTATCTTATGCAGTTGCCATGGAGAAATTAACTTGCTTATACTCTCAATTTAGTTATAAAACCATATAACAAGCAATAATTTTTTTATTTTAATAAAATTGTTATGCAGAGTCTACATATATTACTTGTATATCTACATATGTAGATTAGAAACTTTCGGTCGGGTTCAGTTTAATTTTGATCGGGTTAGTTAATACATTGTTGAGTCTTTTGATCAGCATGGACATGGTTTGATGGTATGATAATATTTTTACAGTTTCAATTTTTAAACTTTCCAGGAAAGTTTAATTCTTGCATTTTGTACAATGGCTATATATATGCTGTATATTTTCCCATGATTTTTTTTTTGAAATTATATTTTTAAAATTCTGACAAGATTTCTGAGGAAATTTTTAACTGCCTAGGGTGAGATTTATGACAGTCTGAGACATTTTAAACCAAGTCTCTGAATAAATTAGATTTTGTTGACTTGTTTGCATTTATGCATTTATTTTTATTATAGTGTGTTCGGTACCACATAACATGCGAGAATACCTTCTCCGGTATGTTGGAGAGAAGATTAGCAAGAAAAAATCGCGTGAGAAAATGAGAAGTTGACAGAAAAAGATTTTTTTCATTATCGAAAGGGACATGTACAACATCCATAATGGTAAGAAAAGATAATTATTTATAGTCATATTTATTTGTTTCTATAATGTTTCTTTCGATAACTTTTCACTCATATTGAAAAGCCAGCACTTGAGAACCTCTGTACTCAGTACCCTTGAGCAATGAGTAATTTTGTTCATGCCAGCACCTACTACAACATGGGACCTCAGTTTCATTTGAACACCTGTCTCCACATCCTGCAGTGGGATTCGAACCTGTGATGTTAGGATCAACTCCTTTATCTGTGACTCTAAAGCAAACACTTAAACCACTGCGCCATGCAAGCAGCTAGTCATACATGTATTCCTTATGATGTGAGCTAGCATTATGAAAATTACATGTGCTGTAGATCATAGGTTGCTACATAGTTCTTTGTATGTTGCGCTAAAAAAATATGGTGTTCAACTTCATAGGTCTGGGACTAAAAGTTTATGAGGACACTAGACTTTGACCCGTGCGTGCACGGGTTGGCATTGTTATGAATGCATCCATGTGCATATCGGACATTTACAAAATAGATACATCGACACATTCATATATTGTAAGGTACTTTTGAAATAAACAATGAATGTGAATATAATTTTTTTTTTTGCAAAATTGTTGCGTAATCGTGTAGCGCAGAATGGGTTTGACCCCCAGTTAGCTATAAATCAAGTCATGAGTTCGAATTATCACGCTGGAGCTTACATAAATTTCACCTTTCCAAACTTTAATAAAAGAAATTATGGATATTTATTGAAAATATGACAACAACAAAGAGTTGAGCACTGCTGATACATATCAAGCAAAGTAATGAAAATGAAGAAATGTGTTTAGCTGGTATTTTTACACAATTAGTTATTAAACTAAAGGTGTAAAAAATTTTGTAACAATTTTAACTCTGCAGGTCTCAACTTGTTCAAAATATGACCTCATACTATATACTGGTATTTTTACACAATTTAGCAGATGTGAAGCAGAACAGATTATCTTGCAAATACCCCCCCCCCCAAAAAAAAAAAAAACATACTGGTTGTTCAAGAGATCATAATAAAAATTAAGAATATCAAATGTACTTTATATATGATATAAGAAAATGCTCTCATGACTGTCTGTTTTGATAAAAATTAATGTAATATCCTTGAATTAGTAATATTTTGAATCGATTCGATTAAAACAAAAACCTCGGGTTTTTGAATAATTTTGATTCGATTTTTGGAAACAAAATGTTTGCTTCAGTTCTGTTTAAACCTGTTATAGTTACTGAAAATTCGAAATAAATATTAACCAATTTGAAAGTTTTTTTCATCTTTTATGACTCAACAAATGTAATGTGTTTTACTTTTTAGCTCACCTGAGCTGAAAGCTCAAGTGAGCTTTTCTGATCACATTTTGTCTGTCGTCAGTCTGTCTAGCTGTCTGTAAACTTTTCACATTTTCGAC